CATAGTAAAAGAGGGACCTAAACAAAAATATCATTGAATGTTCAGCATAGTATAGCATTAAAGTCTTATCAAAATTAGTATGCTGTATTGAGTGGAGGCCACACAAGATCGGCGAGGTAGAGCAGGTATTAGGATGAAACAACTTATCCAGCCTGAACAGACTGAAGCCGCTAAAATACCCTATTGGCTATAATCTCTTGATACACTGGCATGTAATTTGTGAGTGTGTCTGTGTGTGCATCGTGAAGACCCAATTGAGATTTATACCATAGGAATGAGGATATTTTGGGAAAGTGAGGACATTTCCTTCCGAGAGCTGTATGAGGGTTAACATTTGGTTTTAAGGTTAAGGGCAGAGTTAGGGTAAGGACAGGTATTTAGGCATTTAGTCAAGCTGGTTAAAATTAGTTTAAGGGCAGAGACACACCAATCTGACATAAAAGAACTAGCAGCGATGAAGGCTGACTGTTGCATCACATAATGTCACTTTTGTCTGGGCCAGTCGGGTTGAAAAAAATGGTACTTGTACACACCGCACAGACTAAAGCCTGCGGCCAACTAGCACTTGCAATCTGCACGTGAGTGAGAGAAATAACTCTCCCTACCAGCAGGTGGCGGGTATCTGTATTCGTCATTCAGAAAGGGAAAGAAGAGCTAGACTGATATATAAACTGTAAACAAAGCAGCTCTCATTCACAGCAGCTGCTGTTTATAGCTGCTTCTAATCAATAATATGTCTGATAAGAAGTTGCAAATGTCACTGCCGTTCTCTGAAGTTCTGAAAGAAGTTTGCAGAGGCAAAAAACAAGAAACTGCATTAAATGTGTGAAATCATGAATAGTACAGTGACAGGCTGAAGGAGCTTTCTGGAACTGTTCTCTTCTTGTGCATTGATTCACTTAGCTGAACAGCAAATCTGAGTGGTCTCTCTCACCAGTGAGGTCTGCCACTGATTCAATATGCCGAATCAACCAAAAATCACCAAGAGGGTCTGACTAGTGGCAGCCGTGCAGGACACACGGGAAAGACGAGGGCGACAGATGCTCTCCGACAGCCCGGTAGTGGCCAACAGCCAACTGTTGGTTTGGTGTGTCACGGCCCTAAGGGGCTAGGAAATTAAACTGCTTGGTAAGAATTCCTTGTTTTCATTGTGCACACACACGCAAATGTATAAGATTTGTAATGGCTATCAAAGTAGAAGACGCATCCAAAAATAGTGTCTCTCGTTGAGCAAATCTCTATATTTGCTTTAAACACACAGAAAACCTTACAAGGATTGCCCAAAGGCCTGTATGTAAATCCTAGATTCCAGCAACAGCAGAGGCAATGACATATTCATTAGATCTACCATCTGTGCATTCATCAAATCCAACTGTCATTGCTGCTACACAAAACCAAAGAAAAATCATCAAAAAGAAAGTACTGACATGTAAACATACAAACAGACACAGGCTGGTGACCTACATGTGGCTGGACAAAGCCCAAATCTGATAGCACTCACCCCCGTGGATTCTGTGCTGTTTTGCGTATACCCCTTGAACATGCTGACTGACTGGTGGACAAGCTACACCACATTTGGTTGTGCAGCTAGGGTCCTTCTGGCCTAGTGCTGAGAGTGGCTCCATAGAGCCTTGGGTGAATCGGGGGCAGCGCTGCAGACAGTATGCAGCTGGCATGACAGTGTGAAGCAAGCTCCCACCTAATAGGACAGCTCATCAAGCCATAATCAGTCAGCATTTCCTGGACATAAGACCCAGTGATACTCTTGTCAAAACAGTGTATGTGGGATCAATGTTTGACCTACTGCAGGTTTTGGCTACTATGCATCAGGAATAAATTGGCATAACCTAAACTTTGAAAGGCACTCCAAATTAAACAGCTCAGCCAGGTTTACAAATTTAGAATTGGCCTGAGCTTCCAGATTAAATTTGCCCCAGAATTAAGGTACACGCCTACGGCTTTGCCAATGTCAGGAATGTCATGTGAACTGTGCACACATACACACAAACACGGTGGACCTTGAGAACACCTTGTCGTGATCACAGATTTTGGCTGACCATCAAGCTTTGTTGGCCCTTCAAGGTCAGGATCAAACTATAATGCAAGGGGTTGACCACTTTTGGTCAGTGGAGCATTACAGAGTTTGGCAGGCCATGACCATAGCTCCACCAGTAGTGAGAAAGCAGTGTCCACTGACATTCGAAAATAGAGTGAAAATAGAAAAAGCAAGAATAAGAAATAGACAGGATGAAGGCTAAGAGGAGAGAGCTGTCATTGCAACGTTGATTTTGTTATGGATCAGTGGATGATTTCGGTTAGCCAGAAGCCTGGGATGTACTGTGCTGGTTGGGTAAAAGACAACATGAACCCATTCTGGGTCACCTGCTCATCCACTGGTGGGACACCTACAGAAAAATGCACAGCCATCATCTGACACACAAACAAATTTAACACTGTCAATACCCACACTGTAGTACTACATTTGATTTTTCTCATTAGTAATTACACAGAGAACCATATGCCTTCATTTGCATTTGGCTTGACAACAGATCAATGAAATGACATTTTCCACACATGCTGCATTTGCATGACTGTTTGAATATGTGCCTGCATTATCTCATGTTTCCCTTGATCAGAGAAAGCAGTGAGGAGGCTGAAATAGTACAGCATACCTTAGACATAACCCTTAACACGGCTGCAATACTAGGGAATCCCTTTGGAAAGGAAATACTCTTCCTTAACAAAGGAAAATACCCCCTTATACTCCTGTGGCTGCCACCTCACTGGTACAAGTGCCCATTCTTATTAATCAGCAATGAAATTGAGGATTGTGTGTGTGTGTGTGTGTGTGTGTGTGTGTGTGTGTGTGTGTGTGTGATCAAAATAGGAGTTGGCTCTATACTTCTGTGCCTGTGGGAATAACGTACTGCGCTACAGGCCAGTGTGACCTTTTCTAGCTGCCGTGCTTTCTGTCCTTCCTTTCACACACTTACTCTTTGGCTCAGACACAAACACAAACACCTAGTTGCAGTGTCACAACTAGCTTTACCAACCATCAATTACCCACACTGCTTCCGAGTTTAATGGACATGAGGTTTGTACAAACCATGGGAGATAAAGGGGTGACAAGACAGTAGGGTGCATTTGGTTTGCCTCTTCTCCTACAGCAGGAAGGTAAAGCACACCTTGTTTTCTCCTGTTCACATTCCTTAACATGACCTTTATGGCTGTGTGCTTTCTGGAGTGACAGTTTGTGCTCTAAATTGAAGGTTATGGCCTACCTATTTAGAGTGCTCTAACTACCTGCAAAGACATACATGATGGATGAGAAATAGAAGATATGCTTTTCTATTTTATTTGCACTTTCTTGTATATTTTCAATATTTAAAACCTATCTTCTAAACCTTATTCCCATCCTGGTTTGGGTCAAAGTATATCTATTAAATAAATGGTAATTAATAAACCAGATCAAATTCTCACAGTCTAAACTTTTTGTTCTATTGTAACAAAGAGTGAGTTTGAAACAGAGATGGTTTAAATTGCACTTCACACCCCAACACCCCAAAAACAAAACTGCAGAGCTCTTGGAAGACAGTATACAAATAGAAAGCTAGAGATGAATTAGAGTGACACAATGACAGATGAAGAGTGAGCAGAGAAGGGAAGACAGCGAGGAGGGTGAGGGCGGAGTGGGGGGGGGGGGGGAT